GTGTGAAACCATGGAAACCAAACACTCGAGTCCTCGACAGACAAGCGCTTGTAAATTTGGAGACGTATTGTTTTGTCCGTGCTGAAGACAGACTGAAACAATGTCCCTTTGAAATAAAACACTCGAGCAGATGTGAGGACCTTACACCTCCAGAAGATGCTTTGAAACACAAATCACAGAATTCACGACGTCGCCGCTTTATGGCTTATAGCGTCCCATAAAATCCCATTATAGCATATATAACATACTCACACAGTTCTTCAAGAAATTAGTTCTTCAAAGTTCTTTATGATATATTTGCTAATTCTTTCTGATAACTTTTTATTATCTTTCGTTTTTAAACTTTTTATTAATGACGTTAATAGTAGTGTTTGCTAAGGTAAACAAGCGTCACTTTTACTTTTGCTCATTTTGGTTTAAATGTATTAAACATCTGTGTTGGGGGTAACGCATTACAAGTAACGAGAGTTACGTAATCAGATTAATACTGTAGATCTAGACTAAATGAGAACATGCATTTACTCATCTCACTTACACAAAAACAGATTCAGCATTTCTCAAAATCAATAAAAACAGTGAAATGCAAACTCAGAATATGAAGCAAATCTGCAATAATTAAATATGTTGGGGGATCCAACATGGCGGCGAGCTTGGCAGACACACGACTTTACACTCCTGCCACAGACAACCAGATTTCTAGTTTTTTAAGACTCTTAAACAAAGAGTATTGATTCGTCATGGCAAATCGAAGAAGAATCCGGATAAAACTGAGGAAACTCCTGACAGCAGTTAACGTGACGAAGGCTCTCGCAGACATGAACAACTGTTTCTCTTCCGAATTCGAAGGTGTCCTGAATGCTATTCAAGAGATTAAAAAAAGCAACATTTCCGAATTTGGGAGAAGACTATCAGAAGCTGAACACCGAATTAGTGAGACTGAGGATAATGCGGAAGAATGGCAGAAAACAGTGAATGTTCTGGAAAGTCGAATAGTAACGCTCAGCTCGGATCTGGATGACTTCGAGAACCACAGCTGC